GATTGACATCGAATGTTACACAATATAAAAAAGATCGACATTTGATTTTATCACCAGGTGATATAACGAATGTCCATCATGCTGGTTAAGACTCCCAAAAAAATCAGTCGGTTTGTCATGTGCTGGGGTAAAAGTGCTTATTGGTTAAAATCAATTTTCAAAAATTTATGTTAACCATACATAGTCGAATTCCTGAAATTTTCTCAAAACTTTTTTAATCGGCAAACTTCGCTCATTTGAATAAGTTTCGTGATCTTCCTTCGTGGACAACTTTTGTCTTGGCCACTGATCTTGAAATTTGCCAAATGTTATAATGCCCGTTCTTGATTTGAAACTATACACCACCATCTCTGTATGTGTCGCCCTTGTGGCTTTTATTTATTCTTGCAATATCTTTACTTGGTTCTCCTTCACACACTTACCGACACCAGTTGACAACTTGCCTAATCAAGCTACACTTAGTTCTAATGGGTTCGATAGAATTTCCGAGAAAAGTCCTGGTATTATTACTTCAATATTTCAAAATATGTTATCAGAGAAATATTTAGCCCCAAGAAAACCTTTTGGTTTAATGGGGCCTTTTCTAACTTCACTTGTAAATTTTTTACAAAAAGAAAAGATTTGTGTTATGGTATGCGTTTTATATTTAAATCATTAGATTTTATTTTTCTTTAAAAATTGCATTCAATGAGATGTCTTGAATGCAAATTCTTTAGTATTGATGTATAGTCAATCCCATCATGAATAAATTATTCATGTTTATAGATTTTCATCAATATGGCTTATTGTTTTGTATTTCTCCTCGGAAGGTTGACATTGAAATTCTTTTTTGGAGAGTTAAGAGTTATCGAAAGTCAGGTATTTGTCAGGAATTCTTTCTTTATTACATAACTTTATTTGACTATTTTATATTTATATTTATTTTATGCCTTTAGCATATGTATGATAGACTACTCAACTTTCTATTATTCAAAGTGGTCTTTGTTGGAGCAATTTTAGAGCCAAAATGGGAAGAGTTACTTATATGGACAACTTGGTTTACAATTCTCGGATTTTTAAGAATTTTTAGCATGTTATGTCGGGATAGATTCGAATATGTAAGCCTTAACTTATTGGTTTCAACAGTTTCTGAAAATTTCTATTGAATTTTTTTTAAAAAAAATCCTTCGTTTTTAGCTTACGTTTACTCCAAACACTCCAGTTCAGGCTCATTTACGAATATTAGCACTATTAATACTTATTTTATTGTCAGACATTTTCTGGTTTATAATGTGCATATCGGTATTCCGGTCTATGTTACTGCTTTTGACATTTGAGGTTACTTAAACAATTTTGTTGTACTAAGTTTATTATTGGGCTATAAGAAACATTATATTTAATACTTCCGTCTCTTTTGTAAAATAGTGCTTTACATTATTTTTAGATACCGTACAAACATTGGTTAAATATATAATTCATCTTAGGGATATTACAAGACAAAGTGTTTGGGAGTCTAGAGGAATTCTTTTATATTATACCGAATTTGTTACAGACACTTTGATACTAGTTGCCACTCTTGCACATTATTTACACATCATGGTGAGAAAAAATATTCTTTGTTATTTTTGGAAAGTTTAAAAATATCCAATATTTAACACCTTTGTTCAAATTAGCTTCTTCATGGTATTTCTTTTACCTTGATTGACGCAGTTTTATTCTTAAATATGAGGAGCGTTTTCAATAATCTTAGGAAAAAAATAGCTGCATATTACAGTTACAGACAGGCTATATCCAATATGCAAACACAGTAAGAAATTTAAATACGTTATTTTGGTTAGATAAGGATTAGCTTGAAAATTTTTGAATTCGTTTCTTCTGACTATATTTTTATGAATTATAGCGCTGAATGTTCATTACAGATTAATCCTATTCTAATCTTCAACTTGGCATTTTATTGATTATAAAGTTTCATTCTAAAAAAATTTTATGTTCCAATTCCTGTAGATATCCAAATGCCACCGATACCGAGTTGAAGGAATATAATGATGACTGCGCAATATGTCGGGATTCTATGGATACGGCTAAAAAATTGCCATGCGGTCATATGTTTCATTTGTAAATATATTTAGTTATACATTGCTTTATACAATTTTAAGTTGCTTGCTAATTTTAACATTAAAATATTAAAAAAGGACTTGCTTGCGTTCTTGGCTGGAACAACATGGTTCTTGTCCAACTTGTAGACGATCTTTGTTGAAAGGAGACTCTCCTATACGACAAGGGTTATTAGAACATTTACATATGGAAGGTCCATTCCTTTGAAAAGTCGATTTTTTTTTTTTGCAGAAATTTCAACATGGATTAGATATACAGAATTTGATATTCTGATACATTTGTAAACTCTATTTATTCGGCATACTGGCTATGTGTACAATTTAATTAATTATCAAAATCATTAGCAAATTATAAACTAATAACATTAATAGTTTAGATATAAGAAACTTGCAAAATAAGTATTATTTTTTTACTGAAGAGTTTATTACATCAAGAGATTACCTATCTCTATGTAAATTATAACAATATGCTCTCATATTTAAAAGTTGAGTAAATGTTATAAAAAAAAAAAAAATGAGATGGGTTGGTTTCTTGAAATTTATTTTTATTGTTGTATTATATTTTTCTTTTTATTTTATTGCATAAACTCGTTGTAGATACCATTTTTTTTTATTTTGTTTGCAAGAATTTTATATAATTATTAAATTTTAAAATTTTTATTTAATGATAATTGCAAAATCAGAATTTAATTATATAAAAATAACATAAAATTTTTAATTTTTAAAGTTTCATTAGCTAAAATTGAAAATTTTCAGTAACATTAATATATGGGAACGTTTCTAGTAAAATGAGGTATATGATCTGTAATGTGATTTTACTAGAAACGCTCCCATATAATATTAAAAATCACGTAACATTTGTTTAAATTTATTGCAAATACAGTTCTGATTTTGGTGTATCATAATACTTGTAATATGAAATTTGATTTTTTTTATAAGGATTGTTAAAGGTTCTTGTAAAGTTCTTGATTCAAAGATTAAAACACTTGCAAAGAATACTTTTTTTTGATTGGATCTGTATATGCTAATTTGATAAAAGGTTTATTATAAAATGAAGATTAAATATGATAATAATCTATTAGATTATGATCATTAATTGGATTATTAGTATAAGATAAAGTTAGATTATAATATTCTACCTATTCTTCTTGTATTTATATGCTTTTTTTTAATTTCTTTTTTTAAGGTCAGATTAACCTGTGATCTAACTTGACTCAATCTGAAAAATCCTGATCAGATAGACAAATTTTAGATCACTATTAGGTCAACCAATCAAATCAAATCAAATAAAATATTTAAAAAAAATTTTTTATTCTAATTAAAAGAATCGGCATCCCTAGCTCAGTCGTTAAATTATGAGTTTCCTATTGAGCTAAAGTTTCATTACTTGGCAATAGGCTATCAGTTCAAGTATCAGCTGATATATAAAATGAATGATTTTTATAAGAATTATATTGTAGCAGAATTGATAGGCATATGTACTAATATGTGTACAAATCTGGTTAATTAATATCTAAATACTGCTGTTACCATTGAAATTAGATCTGCAAAATTGATCTACAAACGATCTACAATCAATCAAATTAGTACTACAAAATTAATCATCAAATTAATGCATAAATTAAGTAACACAGGTTGAACGCTGATAAATCAGGTACCTTCCTGATTGGTCACTATTTTTTGATTAGCAATCAATAAATAGAAATCAGTAGATACTACAATCGGGCATAAATCGGTTAATACCATAATCATAATTATTAGGTAGAATTACATAAATCGGGTTCCAACCTGATTTTATACTTATTTTAAAAATTTATAACTATATGTTAAATAGTAACAAATCAGATTCAATTAATAATTAGTTATCAATCGGTTTAATACTAGATTGATGATTATTATTCAACTATAATTTACCAATTGGTTTCTATATTAATAAATTTACTGATTGTTTCCAATTTATAAAATTATTCAATTTACCGATTGTTTCAAATTTATTAATTTATTAAAGTAAACCGATTGTTACAAATTTATTTAATATGATACAATTAAATTACAAATTAAATTGTCTATTAATTGGTATAACTGCCATATATTTTTTCAGTTTTCGTATACCAACTATAAATTTACTTAGCACAAATCGACTATATATATTATGAACCGGAATGATACTATCTCTATCAATCTTATAGAATTCATTTTTCCAAAGCTCAATATTACATAATTCTTCTTCAACTTAAATTTACAATAAAATCTTGTTTGCCGGTCAGGAGCTGATATATGCCATTTTACAAATGCTAAATGATGCGTTACAATACCTATTAAAAGGTCAAGTGAATGTTCAAAATAGTATTGTACTTCACCAGAAAATATATTTGTCATCTCATCGCTTTGTATAAATTTCACCAATATATGTGAATTTCTCATATATTGGGATGCAATTGTTGCTCCAAAGATTTCAAATCCAATCCTAATACGACCATATTGATTAACATATGGCAAAACGATAGTGAGATCTTCTGTTGATGTTTCAGAAACTGCACCTGATATCATTACAAATTTCCTATCGTATGCATTATTATAATATTGAACTAATAATTTATAAATATTATCTGGTAGTCACGCATTCTTTTTTTGGAGAAAGCATTAATCCCGAAAATGGCTCATTACTGATAACGGTTGCATTAAGATGATGAAAGATTTATATGAATCAGTATAATTTTGTAAAATCCAATTTATCATAAATGCTAAACTTCCAGCTGTCAGACAAGACTTTACCAATTCAAGAGCTTGTGCTAGTTTTGAATAATCCAATTGATTTAAAATAAATTCGTCTATTCTTTGGTTTTGCACAATAATGCGTAGAAGTTCTAATTCGATTTGTCATTTACTGTTCAGAAGGAATCCTATAAAGAAAAATTAAAAAATTATTAATCATATATTTAATTATTTAATAATTTAATAACAATTGATATGAAATCTCACCTAAAACTCCATTCATTCTTTCAAATGAATAACACCAGAATGAATACAAAGGATCATAATCATGACAGCATTCAGTAATATGAAGTGAAAGGTGTATATTTGGTATTATAAATTCTGGTCTATAGTTTTCTTCAACTAAAAGTGCTACTTGTAACAATCGGACATGAGCTTCAGTTAATATATTATTGTCAATTATTCAACATATAAGTAATGAGCAAGCTCTAACAAAATTAACTAAAATTTCTTTATTTGGTAAATCCAAAAAATCCCATAATAATGGAGTCGCATATACTAAAATAAAAGTCTTTCATTGATCGGTAGTAAAGCTGAAAAACCCTTCTCCAGTTGAAATTTTATTTGGGATCCGATCCAAATCAGTGGGTAGGTTGATGTTTTTTGCCCGTTCTTCCAATAATATAAGATCAATTTTGTTAGACTATAACCTTTTTACTATCCAATAGGCAATACCAAGAAAAAGGTAATACATTGGATTGATAACAAGATATCAAATCAGGTTAAAATAAGGCAGCATTAACATTTCTTACCAACGTACGTGTATATCAGAAATATGTTGCCTTCTTTCATCTTTTATTTTGCATTATCACCATTCTTCAGCATTTCTGATATGTTCTTCATAGTCTTATTCTTGAAACTAATCATCCATATCTTCGAACCCACCAAAAGTTGGTTTTCTACCTCCTATATTTGCACGTTTGTAGCATTAATGGCAGCCAGTTAATGCTGATATATGACTGCATAATTTTCTAGCAGCCAGAATATCATTTGAACAGCAAATGACAGTTAACCTAATTCTTTTTCCATTCAGAAATTTTGTTGAGATTGATATAGCATATCATTCACTATTGGAAAAAGATAGTGATTTATCTGATGTAACTTTACCTCTTTAAGAGCTAGTAATAGTCTAAGTATCAATATATTTTCCTTTTTAAATCAAACTTCACGTGGAAGGTTACATATAACACCATATATGACGTCACAACTATATGCTGATGAATCTAATGGTTGGAACCAATTGAGATTTATTATAATTCCTAAATGGGAATCAGCAGTTTCCGTTATAAAAAATCACGAAGAATCAGGTGTGTCAATTTGTAATAGGAAAGTTTTCCAAATTTCTCCATCATAAATATCAGTTATCAGTTCAGTATCATCCTGATTGGTCCATTTTTTCAAAAGTGATTCAAATCCTAATCACTAATATATTGTAATCAATTGAGCCTTCAAAGATGACAAAGGAAAAATCATCTTTGGTTTTCTAATGTAACCTTTAACTATTAATATTTGTTTTGTTATTTCTATTCTACAAGGACTTCTCTGACCTTTTCTCAGATGATTTAGAAATTCTACATAGGTGCATTTAAACCCATTATTTGACTAATCGTTCACATTTTTTTGCAAAATTTCTGAAATTTTATATAATGCATTGCAATCTGAACATACTGTATATATCTTTGCTTGTTTATCAATTCCTATCATTTTTTTTGCCATATAAAAACTTATAGGAAAGTCTTTAAAGTGAGACTGATCAGCATCTAATAAAATTATATTAAAAAACTTAATAAGTGAATCAATAGCAATGTCAGAAAGGCGAAATCTTGCTTGAAACTTGAATATCCATAATAATATCTATGGATCATTAAAGTTAACATTCATGCTAGGATATTCATGATCTGATTCATTAAGATCATCAAAATCAGAAGCAGTAAATCATTTAAATGGAACATCATCTTCACTTAACTCACGATTATTATTACTAAACCTGTGATCATCTTCTGTTGTAAACATATCATCAACTTCTTCTTCTTCTTCTTTTTTAATTGGAATTGGTTCTAATTCATTATAAATAGGATCACGAAATTTATTATATCATTTTTGTTTCTTATGTATATCAATTGGTTCCTCATCAATTGGAATTG